CATTACAGTACAGTTACCTGGCCTTACACATATTTGGAATTACACATTTGTGATGATATTGTGTTCGTACGCTCTACCCTTATACCATTTTCACCTATTATGTCATGTTAATATGACCATTTTAGCCCCTATTATTTCACAAATAAATACATCATGCTCTGTCGTCCATTTGCTTTCCCTCTACTCACTCAAGAACTCTCATGTACTCCATTCCACTTTGGGCCAATTAGTTGTTTTCTTTATGCTCCATTTGTTGATTATAGAAGGATGTTCATCACTGATTGATTGTGTTTGTTTTTAGGTATATTGATTTTGAATTAAAAAATATTTGATATAATTACAGACATGTATGCTTATTCATCTAAATTATTGTTAAAAACGATTCCTGTGGTTGAGACCTACTTACTCAAAGTCGGAGCTATAGAGGGTATTTCCAAGAAAGATGGGTTTTGGTTGAAAAAGGTTTTGAAAGAAGCTACATATACATTTTTTTTCTATTCTTTAAACTATTTTATAACTTGGGTAGGGTTCTGCTTACAAGAATAGACTTTTATCTGCTTTACTTCGATTTTGATCTAACATTATTTTTCAAAGGATTGAATGCAGAAAATAGCAATGTACTTCAATTTTTTGCTTATCATAACATCCTTTTTTCAGTTTTTTTACTATAGCATTTAAATTTTGAAAAGGCTATCCAATTATCGCATATTCTTCCAAATACAAAGCAGTGCATTTCACTACTATAAAGATGAAAAAAAGTGAAAGTACCATCCTATAATTGGATTGAAAACTACTATAATTAGGTTACATTTTATTTTTCTAATTAAACTTTTATTGGTGTAAGAGACAACTTCAAATTTTGCAACACTCTCATCCAAAACTGTTACATTAATGATTTGCCCCACTTCAACAATTGTGACATTTTTTTGATGATAGTGAATTGCCAAACATTTTTGAATCCAGATCTTGAAGATCCATTACTTTTTATTTCCCATTAGGTTCCAGATAAAATGTTGTATGGGTGTTTGATGCTTAAAAGATATTTGAGAAAAAACGAAAACATTTGAAAATATAAGGGAAAAAGTAAAGGATAAAATGCAAGAAATAACAGTGTACTTTATTTAATTTGTTTACAAACACCATCGGCATCACAAACAAATAAAAAATGACATGTGCTTCTCCACGGGCACACCCACTAGTATCATATAAATCATATAATGATCATATGAAAGGCCAAAAATAAATTAAATATAATTAGAAAAATTATATTGTAAATAATAATCTGTTATTATATAGACAACAATCCATACAAATATGTTATACATTACAATTAAAATAAATGGATCTATAGCTCATTTGTTCAAACAACCAACAAATACATGTATATAACAGTTAAAGTTCTGTTACAACTCAATTGTTTAAGCCAACAAATAAATAGAATGTTAAATAAGCAAGAGAATAAACAATAAAACGAATAGATAATTAAGATGTAGAAACTAGATAACGCTTTTATTACTCTTAAGTGTTTTCAAACCTATTTTACATTGAATCCTAGCTACAAATACTTATAACCATAAATCCTAACTATTGGGCGGAGTTCACATTAGCCTACTCAAAACACTTATATCTTTGAATTCTAAATGAGTTTTTTTTAGCTCTAAACTACTCAAAACACTTATATCTTTGAATTCTAAATGAGTTTTTTTTAGCTCTAAATAACAATGTATTTTCTCCTACCCAAATAAAAGTGAGGAACCAAGATTTGACGAAGAAAAATATTGGAAACGACACATTACCAAAATCTACTATCTATGTGAGCTGATGAGACTTTGATTCTTCCTTTTATATATGATAACGTCAATAATGCATTATGCATTAAAACCACACTAGACGCAATAAAAGTTGTATGTTTCCTACATCAATTGTTTGACCCATGTTACTTTAATCCCAATAATTGTTTCCATGTTACTTCATGAGTTTCATAAATCTTTCTATCTTCCATTACAAGCATCATAAATCATTGATAATGTGTCTCAAATTTCATTTCTAAATTGCAATACTCAAAAGGGAAAGAAGTTTACTTTACAAAAGCTAGAACTAACTAATCAAAGTGGCACACAAGCACAATCAAGATTTAATACCTTGCTAAAGTAGGACCCATAACTACCATCCCCCTGCCTCCTCAAGGCACCCTTACTTCATCTCTTCCATTAGACACCCCTACATATTTATTTCATATTTGTATTTGATTTTCAGACAATTTGATGCTATCATCATTGCATATATATACATGATATCAAAATGTCTTATATTTACAAGAATATAACATTATTTGGTCAATAAGTGTGGGGGACAACATAAACAAAAATTTCATTACGTTTATATGTTATAAGTGTTGACAAGTTTGACACTCAATACATTTTGGCGAGTTTGACAGACATTTAGGCATGGTGTAATTTTCATAGTCTTTTTCGTTTTGTATGTTATAGTCAAATAAATAAATATATATGAATTTGATTGGAGAAAAAAGTTGTTAACAATTTTATTACTTAATAAGTTTTGTTGAATAAAGTTTAATAAAACGGTTAAAATGTCTAGATCCTATAACCAGTTATTCGGTTATTGATTTTATTGACCAACCAATTACATCATTTATTATACCAAAAACTATATTTCATGTATACTTTTTTTAACTTATAGTTATTGGCTTTTTACAAAGTTTTCTTACATCTTTTGGTCAAAATAACTTTATAGATTATATTATAAAAAAAATTTAGCCAAAGAAATCATTTGTATGTAATTAATTGGAACTAACTGTTATATTATTAAAAAAAAGTATTAAATAAAATATACATCTATAACATATTTAAATAAATTAATACCACATATTCATTTATATAAATATTATACTATAAAACTAAATTACTGGAAATATAGACACTCGGCCTCAAACAATTAAAATAAACTAGAAATCTATAAACTTAAACTTTAACCAACATTAAACACATTAACCTTTAACACCAAATTTGATGTTAATGAGCATATAAAACCATATTTTATGTTATAATATGATTCACAACACATATTTGGAGTTGGAAATGGTATTAATTGGGATGTAGAAATGCATTTGTGTGTGTTTTTGGTAAAGATTCAATTTGCATTATTTTAGGATAATGTTAGCATTTAAAGAGTACCTGAAAGCGAAGGAGTTCATTGGCCCATTGTACTTCATCTTAATCATCAACATTATATTAGTAGACTTCAGACAGACAGGTGTCCAAATCAACATTTGCATATAAGCATTTGAATACCGAATTTCAACCATTTTTCTCATATACATGAATGAGAGGAACCAAGATTTCATCAAAGGAATGTTACTGAAAACGACACATCACCAAATTCTACTACATACATGTCACTTGATGAGACTTTGATTCCTCCTTTTATATCTTAAAACAGCAACACTGCATTAATTACCATACTTAGCGTAACAAAAGTCGTATGTTGTACACATTAACTGTAGACACCTGTTGATGTTGCCTTATTATCATTAATTGTTTCCATGTTACTTCATTAATAATTTTAAGAACCCTTTTTAGTTCTAAAATTTCATGTCTAGAGTACGTACAATACTCAAATGGTAAAAAAAAAAATAAGTTGATCAAAGTCACGAGACACGACCAATCAAACAGTAACAAGTAACAACCAGGTCCCCTACCCACTCTCCTACTTTATGTATTTCATTTGTCAACTACAAAATTTGATTTATGATGTTATCATGTTTCTATATATGATAACGATATGATCAAAAGGTGTTATATTTAGAAGATTACAAGAATTATTTGTTTGTGAATGAGCAATGGGTGGAGGGCAACATAAACAGAAGATAAAACGAGGGTTGTGGTCACCAGATGAGGATGAGAAGCTTATCAGTTATATTACTACACATGGAAGCCATGGTTGTTGGAGCTCAGTTCCTAAACTTGCTGGTCTTTCTTTTTATTATTCTTTAAATTAATTGATGTGTTATATTTTATAAATTTAATCACTAACATATTTGACTTGATTTGGAGCAGGGTTACAAAGATGTGGAAAGAGTTGTAGACTAAGATGGATTAATTATCTAAGACCAGGTGTAAAACGAGGAAAATTTACTTCTCAAGAAGCCATGCTCATAATTGATCTACACAAAACCTTGGGAAATAAGTAATTAACAAGATAAATTCTTTTTTTTACATATCTTTTGATTAATTTTTTTTTGAAGATATTGATTTCTTTTGTTATTTGTTATAAAAAAGATGGGCACAGATAGCGAAACACTTGCCAGGAAGAACAGATAGTGCAATCAAAAACTTCTGGAACTCCAACAAGAAAAAGAAGCTTCTTCTTCATGGCAACTCCTCTGGTCATACTATTATTGCTGCTAACCTTAAAAATAACAAAATTCAGGTTCCTGGAAGCAATGAGCAAGATCAAGAGGGTTTGTGTAGTTCAGATCTTAATGGGAACATTCCATTGATCAAACATCATCAAGAAGATGAAATTGAAATGCAACTTGATGAGCTTCCTCCCTTTCCACCATCATTCATGGATGATTCATATACTGTTCTTGATGATCGCCAACCAGAGGATTTTGATTCGATTCTTGATCAAAATTGGGAGACAACTCATGTTCCTTTGTTCTGACTTTTGAGAGTGCATTATGAACATAATATGAAACATGCATGATACAAGATCGATTGATGACGAGTCTTCTCCTAAGAAAAAGAAATGCCAGCAGAGATGTTGGAAACCAGCTTTTATAGACGAGAGTGGGATATAATTTTGTAGTAATTATATATGATTTCTGATAAAATCTGTGAGCATTATTGTATATTGATAGGAATGGAGTTGTCAAAGCATAGTTTTAGAAATATGAATGTGAAATAATATGATATTGGACTAACATCTGCAGTTCTATTTCAAAAACTCAACATACATAGCTTAGTTGAAGACAAGTTTCGTGCTAATTTGAACCCTAACACCCTTAAGTATAAAGATCAGTCTATTACTCCATTTACAAGGGAAATACAACAAGTCTGAATAGTGGAGCGCGAAAATATCAAAGAGAAGCATTAGAATCCAGTTATTGAAGCTAGATCCAAGTGTACAAATAAAACTTGTCATATGGATTTCTCCCCGATCGAACATCAGTTAATCAAGGGCTACTTCGTTGAAGAAATCTGACGTCATATCTGTTCATATCTCAGTAATTTCGGTAAATTTTGTAATGATAACGGAGATTATTTATTCTGATGCGTATTCAGTCTTCCATGCATACGATCAGATAGAATTTCGTACATACCTTCAGGGAGAAAGAATCTGAAAGAAGGAAGCCCGCATGGATAAAAAAAACGCCTCCGACGATAAAAGTTTTGGCCTCGCTTTGTGGCAAATTCACCGAGCTTTGAAACTTCAACAGCGATGGGAATGGGAATGCCGGAGGTGGAGTGGAAAGCTTTGAGAATTTGATTTATATGACACCGAATCAACGAGCCTCCGGCGCCAATGAGGGTTTTAGACGATCACATTTCACATTTTTCCAACGAAATGAGGCTTAAGGTGAGGCAATGTTTTTGGCGGTGATCTTCATTTTAGCCTCGCAAAACCCAGAAATTTCGAGTTAATCCCCTAGGCATCTCCAACCCAACCCCTACTTCATATCTCAAAAAATTCAAAAAATGGATGCGTTCGTGTCTCACTTAGTTTTATTTTATATATTTTTTAATTTATTTTTGTCTATTAATTATAATTTAAATACAATATTTAATATTTGTAATATCATATTATATACTAATTTATATTAATTAGTTGTAAATATAAAGTTTAATATTGTTTATCGGATCCATTAATAAAATTAAATATATATTAAACACTTCAACATGATAATATATAATTTATAAAATATAGTAATCAAATATGTTCGTGATCTTGATATATTTATTATAAATATAATCTTATTTATTTAATAATTATTTATAATAAAGTAATAATTAATTTGAATGAGTATATACTATATGAACATAGAATCATTTAGTTTTAGGACTTTGAGGCTTTGTTGTTATGAGCAAGGGAAGGAAACAAAATAAGGAAAAGACGTCGTCGTCTCGAGTAAAGGTGCCACAAGATACACCGGTTGATGAATGGAGACGTTATTTGAAGGAAGGGCGACAATGGATTCGGTGAAACATGCCCTCCTAAAACCTCTTTACACGCGCCATACGCGCTCTTATAAAAAAAAGATTTTCATATATATATATATATATATATATATATATATATATATATATTACCATCTTATAAAAGAAATCTAACTATTTCTATAAATAAATTGATTATAATAATAATATTTTTTTAATACGTTCAAATGATGAAGCTGATAGTACAAGTAACCATTAATAAAATAATATTAAATTTTAACCAAATTTTGAATTCAAATGTTTATCATCAAATTTCCTTATATTTCTCAACAATTTGATATGATTACATCAAATCCCGGATTCATTCAAATTTTAAACCCTTTTTGATATCCTTAAATTTAGCATGTTGATTCAAATATCCCTTCAATCGCATATACCTCTTTGTTCCCTCCTTTGCTATAAAGTCCACCGTCCATGAACAAAAAATGACTTCATCTCCCAAATAACACCATAGTTTGATTATTTTGTCTTCGACATGTACTTTCTTTTGTAACATAACATTTTTATAGAGGAAACATATCACCGAAAGAATTTACATGCCCCACCGCTTTGCGCGGGTACACTGCTAGTGTGTATATATATATATATATATATATATATATTAGAAAATGAAAACGTAAGATAAGAAATTTTGTAATCTACTCTAATAAATGAATGTTTTTTTTTTTTCCCACATGTCAGATTTTCATTCAATTTGGGTTTTTTACAAAAATAATGGTTTTGAACCAAAAATTTGGGTGCTAATGACACCCCTTATCGATATGGCTCATAATAAGTCCATGGAATAAGTCCATGGAATTTTCTTTAATCAGTTTTCCAACACATACTTTTATACGAATATTTCATGCTACATATCATTATAATCATTATATGTATTTTTATGTCATTTCAATTTTCTATCTAGCTCATTATTTAATCTTTAGCAAACGCTTTTACTTCAACAATTATTTTATACATCAAACAAATACTAATCCATAAAAATGAATTATTGGACTTAAGTTTCGAACTTAAAACCTACGAACAAGTTTTTCAAGCTGAAAAAAAATGCTTATTTGAACACCAATTAAAGATCACAAAAGCATCCAAACAATCAAAAAAGTATCAAGCTTGTGTACATTCCAAAACACAATATTCTTCGGATCATTTTATACATCCTACAACATAATCAAACAAAAAGATAAAAACACCAAAAGTGGCTCTATATCAACAACTACTCATCTTCATCTTCATCATCTTCAAATTCTTCCTCTTCGTTATCTTCAACATTTTCTTCTCCTATATCCCCATCATCAACTATGAATCCACCCAATGTTTCATCTTCTTCATCTTCATCTTCATCAACATCATCATCGCCATAATCATCCTTTGCATACTTTTTTGTAGTATACATGGCACTTTTACTTGTACTTGCACCCTTCTTGTCTTGCTTTTGCTCCTTTGATCTAGTTGAGTACTTGGGTTTTGGGGCATTTTTCATTTTCTTGATAATTTCAGCATCTTCTTCACTCTCACCCGTCCACACTTCATCATCGTCATCCTCTCCACTCTTCTTTCTCCTTTTTCTTGTACTCTTCTTCCTTTTTCTCACATTAACTTCCTCTTCATCGCTCTCTTGTTTAGGTTCTTCAAGAAACCAATCCCAATTACTTATATCGCTGAGCATTTTCATTGGGTAGCGATCAAATTCATGTCCCACAACAACAAAACCAAACTCTACATTTCATCACCAAACGAAATTAATCAATAGAAGCAAGAGAAATCGAACATTCGTAGAGGAATTTTGCATGAAACTATAATTGCTTGATTATGAATGTTCTTGTCACGACTTGTAGAATCAGACAATAAAGATAATCAAATAATTAAATGTGAAATTCTGGTTATCTATAAAAATGATATAATTTGATGTTCCAAAACGCAAATCATTGAGCAATGGGTAATGTTTTCTAAATGGATGATTGATACGAGCGTTATGATATTGCAAGTCTGGATGCCTAATTCTATTGCAAACTGCAATTAAAAACCCTAGATGAAATCCACAAATTGTTAATTACATGTCTACAAAGTGTTATTTTACCAACGGAAACCACAGTAACGAACGCACCTTTAACAGGATCGATATGTGAAATATCACCGGTCTCGACTTCATCGTATTCAATCCCCGAAGTCTCTGCGAATGCTTCGTCAAGACTGAGTTCGCTCTTCGATTCACTATCGTCTTCGTTTTCGCTTGCGATTCTCTTCACGTTAAACCAAACAGGATTCTTCGAAGCCACACAAAACGAATCTCCATTCTTAATTTCACCTCCTTCCGAACGTTTGTAAACCCTAATTTCATCGTTTCTACGGTCGCGTACCCAGACGGGGTTTTTCCCTTTAACTTCGAAATAAACCCTGGTTCGATCTTCGTGGAGTTTGAAAGAAATATGGTGACGAGAAATTGCTCGATCACTGGAAATAAACCCCAATTCTCTTCCGAAATCGAAGGTTTCAGAGCCTTCTTCGAGCCGGATTTTGGAGCCACTTTTGCCCTCGATTTCCATGTTTTAAAAGTTTACCGCATGTGCCGACACGTCGCTATTAGCTATTTAGACGACGTTGGTCTGGCCGACCCGCTTCTTCCTTTTAAATTTTTTTTAATTCCCACGTATGGTCATATCTAGAGTCGGGCGGGCGGAGGGGGGTTTGAAGAAGGTACCGACGGTATGATCCAGATCACGATCACATGGTGGATGGTATTGTGTTTTTTTTTGGGTGGAACGTCTTGGGTTTGGCTAACCCGTTACCTCCATTCTCTTTCATCCAAAAGTGAATACTGAACCAAACCAATAACGCTAATAAATGTTTTCGATATAATACAATAGTAGGTGTCAGATACATGTATTACATGTGTTTAATTAATATATATATATATATATATATATATATATATATATAATTTTAACAATTTGAAAATTTTGAATTTTAAGAAAAATGAGAAAAATTTGAATTATTAAAATTAATAAGACTTTAATGTATTGATTATATTACATATATAAATTCTTTCTAATAAATATTTAACATATATATTACCTTACACATTAAATGTGAAATTTTAAATTAATAAAATGAAAAATGCAATAAAATGACAAATGGAAAATATAAAATTTAAAAAATCTAGAAAATGTCATGTGTCCAAATGAATAAGAAAAGGATATGTGGCAAAAAACTTTCATTTATTATATTAGATTAAATATGTGGTATCTAATTATAGAGATAATGATTTAGGAAGGTAAGTAGCTCTTATTCGTGTTCATATATTAGCAACTTCTTCTTTTTTGTATATAATAAAACAACTAACTTGTTTTAACTGTTTAATTATACCAATATTACCGGCTAATATATGTTTTAACCGGTAACTCAAAGGGAAAATGACTACGGAGGGTAACTACCTCTTATCCGTGTTCACATATTGACAACTTCTTATTTCTTGCACATAAGAAAGAAACTAACTTGTTTTAACTGTGTAACATCCCAAAAATCATGACCAAAAATTTCGTTTTTAATTTAATGCTAAAACCATAATTGTCAAACCATTAATTTAATACTCCATCATCGGGCCTCACCCGACATCAGGTCCCGCCTGGCATCGAGCCCCGCTCGGTATACAGATTTGTCTCTCTTAGGCACCGCTTGTCTCCGGGCCCCGCCCGCTAAACACATACAATCATCTAACATGCTAACACATAAAGAAATACACTTTACTGTATCCATATCCTAAGAAACATACTCTGCTAATAATGAGATGCAGAATATCGGCTTTATCTAACATTTCATTCTAACACTTATTTTTATTCTTAATTAAATTAAGACACACAATTAAGCACATAACACATAATACTCAAATAATACACTTCTATTATTTCAAAACGGGTTACAAAGGTTAACCTAGACTATTATATCAACATTAATGACAAACCCATAAACACAGGCGTTACATGATATGTGGTAGTTTGGAGATACTCACTAAGCTTCGTGCTTACATTTTTCAGTTTTGGTTTCAGGTACTTCCGGTAGCAAATGGAATAACTCAGGATGATTGCAGTGCACACACCATTCATGCAGCCTGGGATGTTTTAGACTCTGTGTAACGCCCACATATCCGGGCTAGTCAATTTAAAGGCAATAGGGGTCAAAAACAACTTTTCGACAAAAAGATTATTTAGAATAAATAATCTTAACCAAGTTGTAGAATATGTCACAAGGTTTCCGTACATATAAAGAACGCCGAAATCTGAGTTATAACGAAGAAGTTATGACTCGTCGAAGTTTCGCGTCGGAACCGGCACGGCGCCGGGAAGCGTAACATAGTAAATTTATGATAGAGAGATATTTAGCCTTAGCGCTCTAAACGAAAGTCGTATAATATGTTAAACTAAGAACACCGATAAAAAGAACGCCCAAATCTGACTTCGTATGAAGAAGTTATGATTTTTCGAAGTTTCGGATTAGCGGTGTACAGCCCGAAATTCGAATTTTAGATCGATTGATTTTTAGCCGACACAACCTAAACAAGAATCGAAGATCTCGTTATTAGTAGCATAACGATAAAAAGACAGACGAAAATGGACATCGAATAAAGAAGTTATGAGATTTTAACGGACCAATCCTGTCCCGGCCTGTTAAAAATATAACTTTAAAAATAAAGTCAAAATTAGCCGACGGAGTCTAAACGAAAGTTGTAGAGTACGTCTCCACCTACGCGTGGATATAAAGAACGTCAAAAACGAAGTTCGTATGAACGAGTTACAAATTATAATAGCATATTTACGTATTAAAATAAAGTATAAATCATGTATACGTACACATATATATACATATGTATATATCATTAGAAAGGTATCGACGATGCGGTCATTATAAGACTAATGTTGAGTTCTTTCGACATTAGTTTAGTACAAATATCATTAAATCCATTTAAAATAGTATTATAGAGGGGTGTTTAGTTGTTTATATAACTAAAAGGTCATTAAGTAATTATGGAGGGTAGTTTTTGAAAATTCAATTAGTATAAATAAGAGCCTTGGGCTCTCATATTTCTTGCACCATTCTCTTGATTCAAGAGTCTTTCTCTCCTTATCCCCGAGCATTTCGGTCTCTCGTGATTCGACTTCTCTTTCTGTAGTTTTAGTATAGTAAGGTGAGCGCTGAAGCGCTGCACGAATCTTTCTTAGAAAGATTCAGCGACGAAGTTCTGCCCCTGCAGAGCCCGACTCCTAGCTAAAATCCCCTTGAAAGTAAGTTATGCTTACCCTATTTTAAATATAGTTTATATTTAAAATTAGTATTGTTATTATAAATTTATAATAAATATTTGAGCTATTATTATGACTTATATAAGTGTCATTATAATATCTTTTAACTACTCGCGGTACGGGGAATCTGGTTTAAAGGGCCGCACAGGGTTGTTGGATTTCAGAAGTGCTATACGCCAAAATGGTCCTGCCCTCCGGTGTTTTATGTCTGGGCCTATCTGTACATAGTAGTTGGAAAGTATTGTTTAAACGCTAATATAATAATAATAATAAGACTAATAATTAGTGACGGTAATATTAGACTAAAATCTAGTGGTGATAATATTAGGTTTCATCAAAGGAAATTATTTTAAAGTAACCGGAGCGCTGTCCAAGTACCGAGTCACCACCTTCTCAAGTGAGTGCATAGTTACTTTCATCTTACACATAGATATGAAGTATTTTATATAAACTACGTGCTATGTGTGCATATTATCTGTATACTTGCTGTCTATGTTGGATGAACGTTTTTATACATGTTTTAAATGATTTAAACCGTATACGTATTTTATATACACAAATATGTTGGGTATGATACGGGTAGATGAATGGTGAGAGATAAAAGATGATGTGAGTAAACATTAGCAACTATAGACTTAGTGCCTAACTAATAAACATCGGCAACTATGGACTTAGTGCCTATTGGACAAACACCGGTAGCTATGGATTTAGTACCTGTTAAGGAATCGGTAGCTATGGACTTAGTGCCTATTAGATAAACACTGGTAGCTATGGATTTAGTACCCGATGAATAGACTATAGCAGCTATGGAAATAGTGCTTTATGAACGAACATTGGCAGCTATGGATTTAGTGTCAGTCCTATAACCCTGGAGGTAAGGGACTTCGGAATAAACGAATGCAGGATAGATGACTCTTAGGTTAAATCCTTAAAGAGTAAAGAAGATAATGGGGATGGATAATTGGGTTGATTGTTTGATTGAACATAGTAATTATATTATTGTGGGTTGAAAACCCTATGTACTCACCAGGTTTCCCAACCTGACCCACTCAGTTTATGTATATCACAGGTGACGAAGTGAAGTGAGATTACACTGAGAGATTTAAAAGAGATGTAGATCACTAGTGTAAATTATTGTAAGTTCTGTTTATGCTTATGTTTCGGTATTAACGATGACATCTCAAACATTTTAAAATAAAATAAATACGTTTCTTCGAAAATGTTTTAATAACGTTTTTACCATGTTTTTCTGGGAACAAATTCCGCAACCTTTTTATAAAATGAAGTACTCTTATTTTTATAAAGCATAAACAAAATCGGTCTTTTCTGGCCGTGATTTTGGGGATGTCACACTCTGATATTTCGAGACATGATTTTTGACATAACATTTTGTATGATGATTTGAGATACATAACTTATGATTTGAGATACATAACTCGGGTGCTGCTGCTGCAACAACTACTTGTTCTATTACAAGTATTTGATTTCTGTTTTCACCAACATTTCCAACTCCACTCCTCGTTCTCACCATTTTGGATCTATACACTGAATAATGTAAAATTAGATCCTCATTCACGATCGATATTCAAATCATCTTTATTACTCCAAATGATTACATGCTAGTTCTAATACCGTAGTCATACGCTTAGAATCCTAAACACATAAGTTTTCCAGATTCGGTTGGCAACAAATCGTAGATCCGAACAAATAACATCATATATGATAACCATATAACATTTAGCACATAAAAGCATTTTAGACATTTTTTTCTAAAATAAACTAGTGCTCATGTCAAAAATATACAGACACACATCTCACAAACTTCACTTAGCACTATAAGTTTAAGTCTAGAAATCCTACAAATTTCTAGTTCGCTTAAACTAATACTTTGATACCAACTGTGACATCCCCAATTTTAAGGCTAGAAAAGACCGGTTTGTTTATGCTTCATTTTAAAATCAGAGTAATCTTTTTAAAGAAAACAATTGTGGAATTTGTTCCCAAAACAAAATATGATAAGAATCTATCAAAACTTTCCTTGAAGAAATGTGTTTTCATTAAATAACAAAATATCGGGATGTCATGTTCCGATACAGACCAAAAGTATAAACAGTACAATACAGACCTTACAAGAGATATTATAACTACTGGTCTATAATCCAAAATCTCTTGTCAAGTCATCCGACTTATACTCTTGTGCCATTACATGTAATACAAAGAAAACTTAGTGGGTTAGGCTTGGAAGCCTGACGAGCATATATGGTTTTCAACCAACAATAATATAATTATTATATTTAATCATCAAACAATCAACCCAAATATTAGGCTCATCTGCCAGGATTATGTCATTTAATTATTAAGCGCATCTGCTAGGATTATGTCATTCACTATTAAGCACATATGTTAGGATTATGTCATTTAACTATTAAGCGCATCTGCTAGGATTATGAAATTCACTATTAAGCGCATCTGCTAGGATTATGACATTCACAATTAAGTGCATCTGCTAGGATTATG